AATATTTATATGGATAGTAAGTGTATTTTTGCTCAGAACAAAAACATAATTTAACACTAGAACAAACAAATTAAGAGTAATGCGTCACCATTTTCTTCCTATATCCTGCTGATGGCTGTAAGGGCACCCCTGCCATTCCAATTATCTGTTAAATTTCATCACCAGCTCACTTAATACATTTATTTAATTAAGACCACTAGGTCCTGATTAGCCATATGAGGTGTGTTAGTGGCTGATTCAAAAAATACATTGATGTACTGGATAGAGGCTGCCAGTACTGGAGTGATTTTAACAGAGATTTATTTCATTTAAACATCACTTTCTTTGGCTGCCGAAGACTACTTCACAGTACCGTGTACACAGAAATTCAACGGATTCCTCCCGGAGATTCAGAGTCAGTAAAGATTTTAATTCGTAAATCCACACTGCCGAAACAGCGATGCCACATTCCACATTCCAGGCGACTAAGGTGACGGCCGACTCCACCGAAATGTCTCTCAGCAGGTGAGATTGCGTCATGGCGCCTAATAGCGGATTAATGCTCATTAACACCGACTTTACTGACAGCAGAGCTCTAGCTCCAGCGTCAAAGTCAAGCAATTCGGAGAGACGCTCCCCTTCAGGTCCAAACGCTGCATCCACTGGGGCTCAGACCTCAGAAAACACGTCCCACTATACTCACCGCCCCTCCCCCGCCATTTCCTACTGGCTTACTTAAGTAGCATTTTATGACACATGAACAGAATGTGCTGAGGCCACGCCCCCGAGGACACACCCACAAGGTCATGCCCCTGAGGCCACACCCCCAAGGCTATGCTACTAGGCTATTCAGGACAGGTTGAGACCTGACCTCCAGGCAGACAGTATGAGTCAGCGGGGAGCACAAAGTCCTCCTGTAAAACCACAGTGAACGCCATAAAAAATGAAGGGCAGAGAGCACGGCATTCAGGAACGCAGGATCCTACACAGGGATCGTATTGGCAGGGATCCTATTCAAGGGGGCGGGACAGTGGCCCCAGCTGAAAGCTGATTGGCCCCTAGAGTGCCCTCTCCCCTGTCACAAATTCAAAACACATTATTACATAATAATAAGGATGACCCCCCCCCCCCCATCTTAATACAAAATCCTAGGAATCACTCCTGAGCCTTGAAGAAACATTCAGCTGAATTATGGGTAAATCTTGCATGAATGCATCAGCTGACACGATTCATTCAACATCAGAATAAACAAGAGTGGGCTTTTAAGGAATCCTTTATGAAATGAATCACGACGAATGAACCAGACAGGAACAGACACAGCGGGAAGCTCCAGACGGTCGTCCACACGACAATCAATCCGGCTCAATCCGGGAATCGATTCAGCCGGATACACATTCTGTGTAAAATACCGCCGATGACAGACTGCATTCTGCTTTAGCCACTATACCTCGACTGAATAGCATTCCGCTCAGGATGTCCCCTAAATTGTGCCCAGTGCATCCTGGGATAGGCCTCCTGCTCACTGCCACACAGCCACATGAACAGACAGTCTGAACTACCTCTTTTTCCCCGTTTCATGCAGTATTTGTATAAAAGATGAAGTAACGGATTGACTCCTCGAGTGCATTGGGGCGATTCTGCTGAGAAAGGACCTATATAGAGATACACTGAATTTAACTGAATGGAGCTAAACGACCGTCATGTTACCGACGGCTACAGGGCAAAACCGATAACCTCGGGTTAAGAGGTTAGGAAACACGACGAGGCACTGGGCCACCCCTGGTTAAGTTAACCTAGTCGTCTAAACTACAAAGCAAACTCAGGAATTCAGCTGCTCATGTCACCTACCGAGGAACGCTGAAGAAGAATGCAGTAATTAGATTAGAATCTAATTGCAACATAGGCCCAGGTCACACAGCAGCAAGTGGGGGTAGAGAGGGCCAATAGGATGGGGGCAGAGAGGGCCAATAGGATGGGGGCAGAGAGGGCCAATAGGATGGGGGCAGAGAGGGCCAATAGGATGGGGGCAGAGAGGGCCAATAGGATGGGAGCAGGATGGGGAGGGTGTGTCGGCTGGTAGAAGGGCGTTCAGATAGATTCGAGGCCTAGGGAGGGACACTTAACTCCAGGAAGAGAGACTCACCATCGTAAAAATCAGGCTAAGGGCTTTAATTAGCAAAAATGACAGAATTAGGATGAGTATAGCAGCGGAGGTCAGACGGGGCAGGGGGGGGGGGGGGCTAAGCAGCACGGGCCACAACGGTCCAGCAGCCCATACCCTGCAGCAGACAGAGGGGCTGCCCAGCAAGCCAGGGCCAGTCCGTGCCCCCACCCTGGCCAGGCTGACTGCCATACCTGTACACGGTGATTTCCCATCCCCTCCCCCACGACTAAAATACAGCCACTTTCCAAAGCCCGTCGTCTCATGTGGTCTCCTGCCATCTCCACCAAGCACCGGGTTAGAAGGTGGCAGCATCTGTAAGCCGTGAGGCTGTAGAAGGCCAAGAGGAGCGGGGGGGGGGGGGGGGGGGGGGGCGGCGGGGGGAGGGGGGGGGGAGAAAGGGGGGGGGGGGGGGGGGGGGGGCTGGGTAGTG